ATTTGACGTCTGTGATGAAAAAAAGTTAGTTCACTTTATTTCCAATTACACAAATTACAGGGATCCCTGTCTTTCCAGACTGACCACTCCCATTCGGTCGAAATAAAGGATATGGCATTAATTTGAAATAATAAACGAGAGACCGTCCATTCTTCTCAGTGGCGGATCATTTGGATGACTGAAATATAAATAATTCTGTTTATAATGAAGTCAATGGAGTAAACTTCCTAGTGAATATATGGCGTCTAGGTAAACTACCTAACTAGTGTAGTGTAGTGTAGTGTAGTGTTTGTATAATAGTAACTATTAAACTATATTTTTATATTTACATTAGAAAATATGAATGGAACAAGAAATGATCAAGCACAGGATCATGAAGCATGGAAGTGGAAGGTTGTAAAGGCAAATGTAAAAAAAAGTATAAAAACATAAATTTATATATATATATATATATATATATATATATAATATTTGCCTATTAAAATATTTTTATAATATCCCACTACGCCACTACTTTTACAGGCACATTGCCAAAAATTAACTTTGAATTTAAGAATAGCGTGCCTAGAAAAATAATATCACTTAAGAAAATATAGAAACATGCAGTTAAGTATATAATTGTATTTCAGACTTTTAGAATATTTTGGTTTATATAATTGAGGCAAAATACAGACTCCGAAAAATGCTGTATGCCAAATTATATCTGCAAAAAATTAGATACGCGTTAGGTAGAAATGAAAAGCAATACTTAATAATTCAAGATAGTTCTTTGCACGCAAAAAATTCAAAATGCGAATCGTAAAATTTTTTTTCATATAAAATTATTATCTAAAAATGAAAATAATTACTACTGTAGTATTGTTAAAAATAAATAAATATATTTATTATTCAAAAAAATAAGAAATGATTAAAATATACATATATCAAACTAAATGTTAAAAAAATCAACTTTGTCAGATATATTTCTTAGTTCAACATTTTTGTAACTATATAGAGAAAATTTCCTAAAGTAAAAAAATATTGAAGTTCCTGAGCTTATTATTAAAAGCGACTCTATGAAATGTTTAGTATTTTGAAACATAATTTGTAGAAATCTGTTAATCTGTCTATTCAAACTCATTGTGGCGTTATTACGGGTTCTCAAAAGATTCCATAATATTTTGCACTAAACGTTATCTTCATAAAGCCACATGACTTGCCGTTACATCCAAACACAAATGACAGGTTTCACAATACGGTCTTCACAAAATCGTATACGAAAACATTTTAATAATTTACAGCACACAGTGCGGAAAAAATCCTTCATGTGTCAGATTATTTTCTTCCTTTGCATATAATTTTCTCGCCGAAACTACATTGACATATACCTGACTGATTCCAGTCGTATTTGCCAAATAAATCCCCTATTTTATATTGCCGGCGTCAACTTAACAAAGAATATGTTTCGGAAGAATGTGAACTGTTTCGAATGTGGTGAAACATGCATGTCGACCTTGGATTTCAAAGGACTATAGCTTTTATTGCTATTAGGAATTATGTGCTTACTCAAAGATACATAATGGATATTATTTTTAGAAGATTTATATTTTGTTTTAATAGTCATAAATAAAATGAAAAATCAGTGGCCACTGTTTTTACTGATTCCGCATTGCTGTACCAATAAAATATTTGCCCTGTTACAGAAATTATAATAATAATTCATCCCACAGAGATAGGACAACTGTTTGGGTGTCATCTGTTAGAACCAACTTGTTTTAGGTCAAATCAGCACAACAGCTTATGGGACTCTGAAATTCTGATTGCTGTTCAAAATAATTTAAAAAAATATTTGTGTTCTTTATTTACCACGAACGAACTCATAATTAATAAAAATTTAAAATATTGGTATCAAGAAATCAAACAATCTGACCGGACCTAAATTCTCATTTGCACAACTAATTCCGTCTCAGATTTTTTATTAAACTATTCAGATTCAGCAAATTTATGTTAAAATTGATTGGATATGCTGCAAAACTAATAAATGTATCCATTACTTTGAAGAAGATATGAATTATTTTGAATATCTTGTGTTTGGCTCCCTATAATTATTAGAAAGTTAGAATTAGGATCTAAAAGACTCATTTGAACGATTTGATTATTTATTATTAATCTATGTACTATATTTTAATATGAAAAACAAGATTCTTTTTTAATTTGTTAATATCTGTACAAAACCACTGAAGTTAGCTTGCACCTTATTGACAATAAACGCTTGCCTTCACAAAATCTAGCACTCTGTCGTGTGTGTATAAACGGTGGAACGTTTTATCTCAATCTACATACAAATGTGTGGTGTAAAATGAAAAAACCTATAGGTGTCTTATCTCAAATGCTTCTTTACAGATTACTCAAATACGTTTTAAAAGTTCTCTTTCATATCGACAAAGTTATCGGTCAGATAAATCTAATTCCTATTTCATATGGAACTATTTGTTAGTCGGAGCAAAAAGGAGATTAGACGGCTGTGAGCTGCCAGTTATGATATGCGTGTATCCTAATGTATATATGGTATATCTGGACGGTCTAGAATTAATTACGTTCGCAGGAAATGACTGATTGTTTTATTGATAATTACAGGTTGAATATTTGTTTAATATTCATAAACCGGTATGCATATTATGCTATTCACCATACAAATGTAGAGAGCGCAATAAATTAGAATTTCAATTAAATAGTCTGCGATGAAAACGATGGCGATAAAAGAGTCGACATGTACAAGAAGCCATTAAGAAGTTAAACATTTTAAGAAAAGGAAAATATTAAATATCTCATTTAGAATAATTTGAATTAATTATCTTTAGAACAAAAATTTTCTGACATTTTATCTCTATTTTATAGAATTTTCAACCAACATCAAAGGTAAGTCAAACTAAAACAATACCAGTAATCAATAAAGATTACATTCTTAATTACATTTGATTCTAATGATCATTAAATGAAACATCTTACATTATATTAAAACTTAATTTAAAATATTAATCAAAATTCATTGGCAACTGATGCCCATGATTGACATCACACAGGCTGTTGGAAACCTAAGCCGTCCTAAGGGCATCCCAAAGATTCAAAGAGAAAAAGAAGTGATAATCAAGTCCTGTAGACGTCCCACATGAGTGATGATCATTTTAATGAAGAAATCGATTATTAGTTATTAATCAATTCATTATAAATCAGCAACATATATTATTTGTAACATCGTTTTAACGCTTTAGGCGACAGTGGAGAAGAATAGTTAGCAAATGTACAGAAAAGTTGACTAAGCTATTATTTTTAAATCATAATTTGTTGAAGATTGCTGTATTATGAAACAATAATCGTATTGATTAAGAATAAATATTACAAGAAACCACTTAAGGTATTTATTTAACCAAAATTTAGGGATATTTTGAGTGCTTTTGAGTGCCCTGAGGTAAATGTGAGGTCATACTGAATGACCGTATGAGAGAAGTAAGTTTCATGACTAAATAGTTCATAAAAAAGAATAATTCGAACAAATTACAAATCATCGAATTCCCAAAAACCCCCGAATGCCCATTGATACCTAAAAAGAATTAGCACGCAGAAAATTATTACACCAACAAAAAAAGCAAGTAGGTATATAATATGCAAACAACAGCAGTACGCTCTAAATAATAAAAGACAAAAAACTATTCTGAAGAAAGGAATGATGAGATCGAGCTCATGAACTGTATATAATGCGATTATCAGATCATTGCACCCGTACTTCCAGCCCGAGGCAAAATAAGGTTTTTGGGCAACCAGAGGGACCATCTGCAAGAATGGCAAATGTTGACCCTATCAAAATCGCATTAAAACGACCAGAAGTAAATAATACAACATTTTGACCTTAGATTGTAAATAAATCAGAAAATGAAATATGAAATACCTAGTTTCACGTATATTCTTGCAAAAACAGTAAACTGAATTATTGAGAATTATTAATATAAAAATAAATGTACTTTGTTAGAATTAGTGTAATTATTAATCAAACATCATGCCTCTTTAGTTGTAAATTTCTTTCGTTTATATGTTTTCTTACTTGATCTGAATCTAATAAGAATTGTGTTCAATATTTATTTATATTAGTGAATTTTTCATAAGCTTCAAAGATATAAATTGTGTAACTTTGTAAATCTTGTCAAAATATAACGCAAATATATGTGTTATCAAATTATATATATATATATATATATATATATATATATGTGTGTGTGTGTGTGTGTTATTTATATATATTTATTTATATCAATTATTATATATATCATATATATGTTTACATTACATACATATAAATATATATAAATAACACACTCATATATATATATATATATATATATATATATATATACAAATTAACAAGTATGTTATTCATTTATATGGTCTTTTAAATTGTCCCTTATCTTCTACCAATCTGATTTCAGTACACATATTTCAATAAAATAAATATATTTTTCATTCACATAATCGAAAACTAACTTTTCAAATATTTACTATTTTAAATTCAAATAATTCTAAATTAAAATTGTAAATTTTGCTGATATTTAAAATATAGTAATTAAAATAATGTCTATTAGCGTTAATTAATTCATAACATCAATGAATCAATTAAAATTGTAAATTTTACTGATATTTAAAATATAGTAATTAAAATAATGTCTATTAGCGTTAATTAATTCATAACATCAATGAATAATTTGACTTTATTATAAGTTAATTAGGTTTATAATCAAATTTATTTAAAAATATTAGCATTAGTATTTTTAAAATTTTCAATTTATTATAATATATAAATGACACCTCAACAATTATATCTGTTAGAATATAACTAATTCTGATTTAAGTACTAACATGCTAGTTCATAGTTTAAAATATGGCGCAAGGGCGGGAAAATTATTGTAATTGTGTAACCTGAAGTAGGCGGCGCTGTTCGATTGACATTTGACACTTCTAGCACATCTTCATTAACAACAAGAGAAGTGCTCATTTAGACAAATTTTAGTTATTTTGCAATTGATAGTGTGGTGACTTTCAAAATTGAACATGAAAGGTACGTTTTGTTAAAATCAGTATTAATATAAATAAATATTAGTTTGATAATTATATACGTGCTAACAACAAGTGCAGATCACTTAATGTTAGTACGTATATATTTACGGCATAATATGGTGGCGGGTGTTCTCGGAATTCGTAGATTTTAATCCATCCATCATTGATAATTATGTCCGATAATTATACTTATATGAGATTTTACAATGCATCACGTTATTTTATTCTAGTGCATTCACTATTATTAAAATACATTAATAAATATATAGTATTAAATCTTATAATATGCGATATGAAAAAGACTTACATTTTGACAGCTACCAAGGTCATCACGTACATATTTGAAAGTATGCTAATTATAATATTGTGGGAGTAGTAATGATTATGACAATATATTGAATTAGAAACTCCCAACAATAAAAAAAATATAAATTTATTAACTATAAAAATATTTCGATATCAAAAATATACTTGACATGTCCCATTGTTTTTTACAAATAAAAACCAGCCTGCTTGATATCGCCACACACTCCCTGCCCAGTGTTGATCTCACAGTTTTTTAAAAAAACACAGGGAAACACGTTATAAAAATGTGGTGGGAAAGCAGATTATAGCAGACCAGTGTTGTAATACTGGTCAATTACAAATTTCCATGTTTCGTCAGCAGATCCACCGTATGTGGTGATTTGACCTGCCATCAACTCCATATTCTGCATAATGTTCTCGATCTAATGGGTATTAGTTATATCAGAATAACTTAATGTTTAGAATGCATAATTTATGGGTACAGTTTCCATTTCTGCAAGCGTTGCATTCGTATCTGATGAGTTTCGATCAGAGAAAGAAGTTGGCTCTTTATCCAAATCAGGATCATTGGTTTCTTTGACATAAGAGTCCAGAATTGTGGAATCCAATAAATTATGTCAAATTTTGTTTTGATTCGTCGTTGTCACCGATAATGGGAGGTAGCATTATAAGACGATTTGTTGAGTTAACAGAGAAAGAGAGGTTAAATTGCATTCCAATGAAAAGTTCAGGCTCCAAATTATTTTTTCTGTCAGCAATAAACACTGAGGTCTGGGTATACCAAATGAGTAACCTCGGAAGTCTGATCCAGATAGTAAGTGCGTTAACTATGATGGATTGGACTGGACATACCTTATAGGTCGTCACTGAAGACCAGTGATTATGGTGCTGCGTCAAAATCAATTTTTCTTAAATCTTCGAAAAATAAAACTCCTTTATCTTCATCTCCATCGTCGTGAGTCACCAATGTGGGAGTCGTAATGATTATGACAATATATTGAATTAGAAACTCCCAACAATAAAAAAAATATAAATTTATTAACTATAAAAATATTTCGATATCAAAAATATACTTGACATGTCCCATTGTTTTTTACAAATAAAAACCAGCCTGCTTGATATCGCCACAATATAATTATAACACTTTGAACTCATTTAATAAAACACGAACTGTTTATCGCAATAATTTCAATCTTTTTTTGTAATTGTTTTTTATTATTTTTAACACAATAATTGTGTCATTATGACAACAGAATGAAAAACTTCAACAATATGAAGTTGTAATATAAAGTGAAAAAGTAGAATTTTTTTTTTCGGTAGTGGTCATACTGTTTATTTTTTAGGCGTAGCTCAAATTTCATTCTTGTTCATTGCAACAGCAGCTGTCAAATGTTAAGTTTTGATTATTTTTAATTAAATTCAATATTTTAATTTTTAAATTCAATATTTCAAGTTTTAAGTTAAATTCAATAATTATAATATGTTTTGTGTATAGGGTTGAAGATAACCATGTTGTAAATCAGTATTCGAGATGATGCCGGCAATCCGTGCCAGAGACATGAGACTCAAGGTTAGTGATCATTTTATTTATAAATTAAATGTCGACAATAGTGACCACTTATTGTAAAGATTTTTAATAACCCCGTGTTCAAAATAAAAATTTATTAGCAAATTTGTAAATAAACTTGCATAATCAATTTAGAAAACTTATAACTAAATGTTTGATGAATTGAAAGTTACTTAAAATATTACTAAACAGCAATCTAAACTTTGTATGTACAAACTTGTGTGAGCGACGCGAGCAAAACTTAGGAAAAATTATACTGGAGATTTTATATTCGTAATATATCATGTTCTGTACGAAGTTGTGTTGCATGCAAAAAAGTACAAATTTGATGAATTTGACGATATTTAACACTCTGTAGTAGTTAATAACAGTTGAACTTTTGCGACAATATAGATTTGACTTTCTTAAAAAAGTCGCAATAATCTACGTTTGATAAGTAATATCAAACTATGACATATAATTTTTTGTAACTTTTTCAATTTTTCACTCTTTAGTATGCATTTCTCATCTCATATTTCATTCATAATATTTTTGCGGTATTGTGTTTTATATCCAGTTTCAGTTTTTACATTTGTGGTTTATATAAAATAAATACTAACTCATTTATAATTCACAAAAAATACGTTATAGGTTTTATAACCTACATTTTTTAGTGATTCACGTTATACTCGCATCATTCTGTGTTATTCTTGTTTTAATATTTTCGAAATATAAAAGGGTTCATGACTTTATTCAGTATACAGATTCAATATAAATCCAAATCTAAATGAGTATTCCATATAATCATGATGTATTTATTCTGATCACTTTTGTGTTAAATTTACACAATTCAAATAATTTGTTTTTTTTTCATATTTGATAAGATAATTTCTATCTCAATTATTTCTAAGATTTTTGGTGACTTGACTTAGATTTCTGAGAATTAATTCCAATTTGAATTATTGGAAAAATATTTTTATTGTTCATACTAAAACTTTAGAACCTTTACCTTTTCACCTAGTTTGCAAATATATGAATAAGTTCATTGAATTTCTCTATTTGTTACCATTTTTCAATGGGGTAACATAGAGACATTTCTCAATATATTTAATATATTGATATATACCTCAATTCATATATTCCTCTATTTATATACAGGCTCTAAAATATACCAGTGAACAGCACTGGTGTCACTGGAACTAACTTTTCTGTGGAACTAAAATTGACATTGGACTGAACTGACGTCAGTATTGATCAAGAAGCAAAGAACAAATGATATATTGTTTTGAGTCAAATGATCTAGATTTAATGATGTTGTGGTTATACACATTATTAATTATTCCAATAAAGTCCTACATTTCTATAAAATGCAGTTGTAACTGAATTTCTTTAGCAATAGCTGAAGGTATAACATTTGCCACATCATTGCAAGGCTATTGCAATCTTCAGAGTAAAACATCTTCTATGTATATACTTAACACTTAGACTTGCAACAAAATTAGACTTGCAGCATGATAATGCAGTATGATAATGAAATACAATGCATTTTTGCATCAATAACTGAGCACACCATTTTTGTGAATGTTGACTTCCAATCAGAATGTGGATAACAATAAACCATTGACTATGTAAACAATGTAAACAACAAATAATTGACTATGTAAATATTGATAGTTGGTAATATGGTAACTACATTTGAATCCTCCATTTCTTTTTTAAATATTGCAATAACATGTGAGCAATCTCAGGAATTCAGTACATTATATTCTCATAATCCAAGAAACCCATCAAGTAGAAACAATAATTCAATCCAATCAATCAATGGCCAAAATTACCATTCATTAGCCTTCCCTCGTCTCACCTGAGCATGTTTACATCGCAAACGTACCTAATTCCTGTGTTTCTGCCTGCATATGTATAAGTTTCTCCAGTATTAGTATTAATTAATCCAATATGGCGCCGACATGGAAACTCACTCGTACATTGAACGATTATTATTTTGGTCTCCGGAGCGTGCAGCTTATTACATTGCGTTTCGTATATCGGCGGCATATCGTTGACATACGAGGAAGACCTGGTCTAGACAAAGGGCTGAAAAACAGAAAAATCGAAAAAGGGTGGAATTTTCTCTTTGTGTTACTTAAACAAGCCCTTGCTATTATGAATACTAAAAATAAATCTTCAGTATCTAACATACAAAATGTACCTGAACTATTCTAAGCAAGTAAAGTATAGAATTTTTCAACGATACTATTTTAAAATTGAACAAATCAAAAGTATAACCAGCCATCACCTTAGTTCTTACGACCTCACTATCAAAAGATAAACGGCCATGTATACTCACAACGAGAGTATTTTTTTTCCTTGATTGTTTTCTTGGTTTTGAGCTCTTTTATTTAGTTTATGATACCTGAATATATTTTTTTAAGTATGCGTAACCTAATTGTTTTATAAGATGTATTGTTATTTTTAACACTTTCGGGACGGCACCGATTTCAAAACAATCTACTTACCGGCTGTAAACTTGATTTCATTGTGTATGTTATGCAATTTGTTTGATAAAAATTTGAGTCATTGAAGGACATACATTTTTAATATTAATTTATTTTTGATCATTTTATAAAGAATGGTGACGTTCAAAAAATGCATAGCTGGTTGATTTTGACATGTTTTACAATAAAATGTTGTTCGCCGCCTTCCTCCTGGTGCTTTTCTGTCAGAACAGACAAAACAATCCCTTTTTCTTTTAGGATTTAGAATATGCCACTGATTAGTCAGTATATTTGGTAATTTTTTTGCTGCCATAATGGTTTATTTTTTCTATTATATTGTCTAATAATTCATTTATAAAATGTAAAGTAAAATAATCTATTGGATGTCTTATATTGCTTGGTGTTTGTAGTCGGGGTGTTTGTTGATGTATGTCAAACTCGATTATTGAAGGAGAATCGGCACATTCGCTAATGTCTTCCCGCTCTTCATTTATTTCGTCGAACTTCTTCTTTTTGTTGGTTGGATAATATCATCATCACATTCATCGCTATCATCGGTGCGAATAGTAATTTTGTAAAATTTGTCTGTATGAATGTCTATTTGAAACTCATCTTCACTACTGCTTAATTCACAAAATTTACTAGTCGTTTTGCCACATTTAAAACCGCTCGGTCGTTTTAAATATTAAAAAAAGACCATATAGCTAAGAAAAAGGCTAAAAATACTACTAAAATAATTTAAAATTATTTTCAAAATACAATACTGTTTATCACTGCTATATGTAATTTATTCAACTTTTTTATGCAAACTGAGTCATTGTTTATAAAATAGCCTATGGCGCACAGAGTATGTTTGTTCACTGATGTGAGCAGCCGTCCCCAAAGTGTTAAGTTAGATTCAATTAGATATTTTTATATCATCCAACCAACCTAGCAAAGGTGTAAACAATAAGTAAATAATAAATAAAAGTAAGTTAAGCTAAAATAAGTTACTTTATCAGAAATAAACTAACAGTTATTTCAACTTTGCAAATATTTCTCACAAAATACCATGTCAAGGTAATATGGAGTGAATTCTTATTGTTAAAAACTGCACCCATGAAATTTGTATTTCGCACTTCTTGACTTATGTAAGTACTATTTCGTAATAATTCTTTATAATTAAAAATAAGTCATTGGAACTTTTTTACCTCGTTCATTAACTATAAATTTTACAGTTTGATAGTTTGATGGCAGTTTGTGTGATACGTGTTTCATATTGAGTATAACTCATTTGGTTTTGATTTTACAGTATGATTACTGAAAGTCTGATTGAACCTTTGTGCCCAACTCACCACTATTGCAATAGCGATTTCTCATAATGCAAAATCTACAACACATAACGTATCAAATAAGTAATATTTTAATGAATTCATATCATGTTTTTGAAAATATTCCTTCGGTACAATATCTACCTTTATTTTAATCTCTAGGGATGTTTTATTTCTTTTAATCCGAGCTCCAAACAATGCTGACAAGAACGCTAATTATCTCGTGTGCTAACTAGCAATTCATTACAATTAGAACCGACCCGCTCGACTTATTATTTCATATTTATGAAATCATTATGATATTACTATGTTACGTGGCTTAAACTATAAATCGTTTATATAATTATAAAATACGAGAAAATTTAACGTGGTAGAAGATAACAGGGGCACGATTTTTTTTTTATTAAAATGTACGATTCATATCCTGAGTTGAGTTGAATATTATCAGAATATTTAGGTTAGACAGAATTATTAGATTATTAGAAAGCAATTTATCGATTAGCCTATGTCTATTTGATAAATTTATTATTATATTTTCTATCTATATTTCCAAGTAAAAATCGATGTCACTACTGTGACGTAAGGCGGAACTTGTAATTGATAGTCAACGGCTCCAACCACTAGTCTACTGTGAGATCCCAGATTTTTAATTAAATTGAAAAAGAGCAATAATTTAATAGATAAAGTCAAATTTATTCTTTGAAATCAATTTTGCTCTAAAATGATATCACCTAAATGTCAAATCGTTATCATAATTTAACAGCTATCAGAATCTGTTTGGTTGAAGCTCCTTTCGTCGTAAGTTAGTATGGGATGGTAACCCCAACGGATGCTCGATACATATTTGATTACTTTATTACTAGAACCCATCTAATAGGGCTGACTTTATTCAATTTAAAGTCTATATTCCAAGTGTAAATTGATATCGCTTTCTCTCGATATCAGAGTTGTTTGTGACGGCGACTGAACCCGAGATCTGGTGCGAACCTACGCGCCAACTGCTCCGCCAACAAGGCCCCAAATGTTAAAACGTAACCCCTCCCCCAAAAAACAGCATTATTATATATTTGGATTATTAATGCTTTGTCTGAAATAAATTTTCATGCTGGCTGAAATTGCCGTCTATGTTTGCAAGTGCACAATGTTTTATATAGATGATTATTCCGGTTGAATGATTTTAATATAGCATTTTGCTGTAATCAAGGGTTTATATTTTATATATCAGTAACTGCTCTGATTAAAAACATAAAACTTACAAAAGTTTCATTTCGCGCGTTCATAGAGATGCTGCCTAAAATATTCCAAAGAAACCAAGAATTTTCTACTGTGCAATCTCACCCATTGTAAGTTTTACTACCTCATATCTTTCTTGTATGCAGCTACAGTAGTTTATTTTACCGCTTATACATGCTGAAACAATCATATATTATCGGGTTGGTTCATATCAGTTTGTACGAGTACGTATACAATGTACACAATCAGTAAATGGACGTGGCACAAAAAAGGTACAAACCTGCATATGCACCGAAGGAAGTTTGTATACAAACAGTATCGATTGTTTTAAATATTTAAATTGTTATAGAAAAAAGCCAGATATGCTAGTAACTTAATGTGTGGTATGTATAGAAGACCGGTGAACGAATTAGGTAAATAATTTAGAGTGCATGTTGTTTGGATGAGAACAATGAGTCTATTTTTTGTTGAAAACTCGATGGATGTAACTGTACTTGTAATTTTTTGTGTTACTATTTGAACTATATCTAAAAATCATTTAAATGTATTTAAATTGTCACAAATTTAAAAGCAAAATGATATTAGATATAATTGTAAAAAGTAAGAAAATAAATGAATAGTAAAAATAAAATCAGCAGGCAGTTACCCTCTCACTAAATTTTTATTTTTTGAATAAAGAATATCGATATTGCATGCAAAAAATCTGAATATATAATATTATACACGATGTTGGTAAATAAATAAATGGTAAATAATTTATACAAAAATATAATTAAAAATATTTTTTTGGTATATTGTGATTTGAATTTTTAACATATTTGTTACAGCTCTTTGTTTACTATTTTAAATATTACAGCGGCTTCATTGATATATTGTATTCATTTATATCTAATATATTTTCACGAAAGAATACATAATATGAATTCTAATTACAATATTAATTACATCCATCTTATGTGATAATGTTCTATTGTCTGGGAGCTGTTAACAAACCATATAAAATTAACATTTAAACATCATTAAAACGGTAGCCATTGCTATAGGGGAACTGTTTTATCATAATGACGTTAGATATCATTTAAATAATAATAAGAAGGAACTTAGCCAAAGTTTTATCTTATCTAAGTTTTATACTATTAATAAAACTCTCTCTTCACATGCATGCGACATTCTTTGTTTTGTCCAGTTCCATCGCATAATAAACTCATTAAGAGTTTTTGTGAATATGTAGTTTA